CCAAGAGTCAGCACTCCATGCATGCGTTCTGTCTTTTACGTATACATGCGTCAGATGAACATCTTTCCCACTGCATCATGTCCTGACGTTTTCCTTTCTTGAGTTTAGAAAATGGCTTGTCATGTTAAAAATAGTTCTCAAGTTTTGTTGCGCAGGGCATCAATGTCAGATTTACACCAATGGTCCAATCAGAAGAGTGTGGGGGCGGGACACTCAAGTGCACTGAGAGTATACAGTAGCAACTGTGCAATCGCCTCAGGGTTCAGATACTGCGTTTTTGGTGTGTTCAGAGCAGAAACAGAATATTAAGTCTCAGCCTCCTTTTCAAAACCTGCGTCTTTTTTCTCTCTTCCCCATTACATAGCTGCTGTTGCAGCCATTAAAATAGTTCAGTTTTGTTTTTAATGGCAAAGTGGTTATATTTCTTTTCGTTTCTTTATTAAGTTAATTTAGAAATATGTTTGGAACATTTTTTATTTGTTAAATTCAAGTTTTCGTTTTTTAAAGTAACGGCCAAGCGGCCAGCGGCAGACAGTGAGTTGATCATAGCCAATGTTTGATCAATTTAGCCTTCTCAAATCATCACCACCACTTGCCTAAAATGAAATCTATAGATTTAAAACACTTCAAGCATATTACCGTGTTAGTTTAAATGTTTAACCCACATAAATGTGCACGTTTAGACACGTATCCAATCGTTTGTGCGGAGAGTGGAAGCTAAAGCGCGCTTTACAGGACATGGAGGCGCCAACGCGATCACTTGCATTTTTTTTCTTAACAGTGGAAACAACTTAATATATGCCGTCATTTTTGCTCATAAAGGTGGTAATACATCATTTGAAACTGTAAAGGGTCTACTTTTATTTGTGTGCACTCACAATATCAACAAAACGTTGTGCTTTTGTAAAATAAAGAAAACAAACAGGATTTTCTGCCGTCTCGGTCTTGAACAGGATCACTTCACAATGATGAACCGAAACTCAGCGAATACTTGCCTCACAGACATGATAAATATATCTATAGAAAGCTTTAAATGACTACTTTAGTCATTTAACTTTGAACGCGGATCACTTCCTGCTGCTGCTGCTGGCGGGACAATTAACACCGTCAGAGCCGCTCTTGACAGTCGCGGTAGCACGGTCTCATGTTGTTTCCACCAGCGCGGCAATTTTTTTTCGTCACCATAACTGATGGATGCCTAAAATATAAAAATAAGAAGAAGCCTAAAAACAGGCCTGATGACTGGCCCGCGTCTGAGATATGACGCGAAAATTGGCCCGAAGCACGGCCCTAAGGGCGTAAATAAGTTGGGGCCCGTCGGGCTCAGGCTAAAGTGCAGGGCTCTATCAAAATTCATCCTGTAAAACTATTTCGACATTGCATTACCATGGAAATGGTATTTTAATTCTTTCAGCAGCTCATATTTCATAATCAAACCTTTTCTAATCTTGACAAAACACATTGTCGGAAAGGCTTCTCAAAGAGTCATTCAAGAGTTTCATATTTGGTGAAGTAATATTGTGACAGTAATGTATAAATTTGTGACAGGAAAATCCATTAAAAAAATTCAGTGTAGTTTGGGTGTCACCATTTTTTTTTTGAATATTTGTGATTCAGATTTGAAACATAACTTAAACATATTACTTTGATTTTATAGCAAATTTAGATCCCAAAATATTTGTAATTACTATAACTTTTTTACACTTGCATTTAAAAAAAAATACTTTACAGAATAATCTGCGTTAAAAAGAGACCAACCTTAGGTCTCTATTTCAAAGCATTCATGAATTACAACCTATTTGTATTTGGTACAAGTACTTGGTTGAGTATTTGGCTAGTGCATTTTCACGTCTATGTTTAAAAAAAAGGGGTAACAGTTAAGAGGTTATGGTTTTTGCTTCTTTATTGGTAACACTTTAGAATAGGGAACACTTATTCACTATTAACTACGACGTTTCCCTCAATAAATTCCTAATTTGCTGCTTATTAATAGTTAGTGAGGTAGTTGTTAAGTTTAGGTATTGGGTAGGATTAGGGATTTAGAATAAGGTCATGTAGAATAAGGCATTAATATGTGTTTAATTACTACTAATAAATGGCTAATATTCTAGTAATATGCATTCTAGTAAGCAACTAGTTAAGAGACCCTAAAATAAAGTGTTACCTCTATTTTCAGTGTAATGCTGCTTAGTGTAAAAACTTGTATTTGCCGTATAATTCTCCTATCCACAGAGAGTATTAAACCTTTTCTTTATAAATACTAAACTTAAAGTTTATACAATAGACACATTTCTATAAATAAGCTTCAAAAAAGTTGGTCCGTCAATGGCACTGACATTATACAAAAAAAGGTTACTTGCATCATGTGAGAAAAAGCTTATCGTACCTATATTTTCTTTTGCTGTGGCTCACTGTGTTGTTGTTGTTTTGGAAGTGAATAGTATTCATGACAAGGGAGGTGTGAGAAATTGGAAATAGATGTCATGAAAATGTATCAGGGTTGACGGAAATGGATTTCATCGTGTCTGTTTTCTAAAACATTCTGCAAATTGTTCTGCTCTTTGTTGCAGTTTTTCATTCCTGGAGTCTCATGTCTTAATGATATCGCAATTATGGACAAAATAATGGTGATGACAAGCCTGGTTCCTAAAACATGTCGCGAGACCGTGGTGTTCTGCTCCGTTCCATTGCACGCCGTCTAGCTGCTTAGCAGAAACACATCTTGTGTGTACCTTCCCCAAGGCAGAAAATTATACACAAGGATGATCCAATACCAAACACAAACGAGCACTACAATATATGGGTGAACCTCATGAAAACATGTCCCAGTCATATTACAAAAATGAATTATATTTTGCACTACAACAATTAAGCAAATTTCTGCCCCATTTCTTTTTTTTTTTACTGTATTGCATCCAGACGTGTTGCTTTTAAAAATTATTGATGATAATTCTGATCATCACAAAATCAAAAGCAGTAAAATAAAATAAATCAATGCTATATATAATAAATAGAGGTGTAATGGCACACAAACGCTTCGCAGTTTGAACTGAGGCATTTATACAGGGATCTGTCGCGCCACATCAAAGAGCGTCAAATTGTTTGAGTTTCCTGAAAAAAAAATAATTGACGTAATTTGAAAGATGAGATTTTGTTTCTTTTCAAAAGTAACGACACAATGAAGTTCCACTCGTGCAGTGACTAAAACAATGCTGTATTTGTTCGGTACACATGCATACCGAACCGAAAGGCCGGTACCGAAAATTTTCGGTACAAATATGTGTACCGTTAAAACCCCTAATAATAAAGGAATAAGTTATGGGGGCAAACATGCTTAATTGTCAAGAAAATGCAAAAAAATCTTGCATAAAATACTTTTTTTTCTTCTTTCGAATTTGGGGTGAAATATAACCTGGACACGTTCTTAACGAGATTTACACACATGGAAATAAAAAACAATTGCTTTATACATGAAAGTCCTTGCAGAAGGGTCAGCACTCTACCTCTGGACCGCCTGCATTTAAAAGATAAGCCCGGCTCATTTGAGGACAGTAAAATCTCGAGTCTGGACAGAGTGGACAGATGGGTTGAGAGAGGCGTAAATGAGGAACGCTAGAGAACTCACACTTTATGCTTCGCTACGTTTCTTCTGAGAGAAATGTCAAGCCGCACATAATCAAAGCCACCAGTCTGCTCAGGAACGGGCCTCATGAATCACATTTTGGTGCGTATTATGTTCTGAAAAGTAGCGACTCGAAAAGTTGCTAATGCTTCAACCCACCTGCGTGTGACTCTGAGCTGAATGTTTCATAATCGCTCACAAATCAGCGCATACATAGAGATAAAGACAGACACAGGAGAAATCCTCCTGGATGACTCTGTCTCCCTCAGTGTTAATTTCGTTGACGAATAATTTTCAGCATAATTTACGTCAACGACATTTTTTTTCACCGACGACAACGAGACGATAACGAACTAAAACTCTTTTTGAATGACAAAAACTATGACGTAAATCTATTGACATTTTCGCCAACGAATAAAAACGAGACGAAAATGTTAGGGAGGGACGATTTGGGAAGAGATTCATTCAGAACGAATCTGCTGCGTGGTTAGGAGGTTAGAT